GAGGAGTTTGGACTTTCTCAGATAGTTACTGTTCCTACTAGAATAACAAGTACCTCAAGTACCTTAATTGATCATTTTTATACAACTAAACCAGAAAACATATGTGAAACAAATGTGCCCCCTATAGCTATTTCTGACCACTACCCTGTATGTTTGACACGGAAAACTAATTGTATACAGCGTAGAGGAAAACATACTGAAATCCAATATCGAGATTTTAAACAATTCAACGAAAACGAGTTTTTGAGAGAGTTAGAAAATGCAAATTTTAACAACCTTCTTAAACATAAAGACCCAAACGAAATAATGAATAAATTTTATGAATTGTTTAATGATATTCTTAACAGGCATGCCAAAGTAAAAACAAAAAGAGTCAAGACTGAAATTCGACCTAAATGGCTAACACAGGAAATAAATGATGCCAGACATTTACGCGATACCTATCATTTACAAAGGAATTCAGAAAATTACAAAATTTGGAGAAATAAAGTTACACAATTAATAGATCAAGCAAAATCAAAGTATTACAAATCTGCAATTGAAGAAAGCTCAAGTCCTAAAGAAATGTGGAGTTATTTAAACCATTTGGCATCTAAATCCAAAACTTTTACACCTAGCCGTATTACACAAAATTGTTTAGATTTTGAAGATTTACAGGATATTGTTGATATTTTTAACAAACACTTTACGGAAATATCCTGTAAATTATTAGCAGATATGTCAGTACAAAGTTTTGATTCAGAATTATTAAATCGGTATACAGAAACTAAACTAGGGAAAGAAAATGTTTTCAGTATCAATGAAATAACTGAATTTGAAGTATTGAATATGTTGAATACACTTGATGTAAATAAGTCAGCCGGTATAGACTTTATCGGACCTCGTCTTCTAAAACTTTCGGCAAATGTCATATGCAAATCTATTACACATCTTATAAATGCTAGTATCACTAATGGAGTATTTCCATCCAGTTTAAAACAAGCAAAAGTCACTCCTATTTTCAAAAATGGCGACCACGCAGATCCAGGGAACTACAGACCGATATCCATTCTTCCAACATTATCAAAATTAGTTGAAAAACACATAGCAAATCAAATACGTAACTTTGCCTCTAACTTTGATCTTTTATTTAAATCACAATCTGGATTTCGAGAATTTCATTCATGTCAAACGGCTCTTACAAAACTTACAGATAATTGGCTACAAGCTATGGACCAAGGAAATCTAGTAGGCATAACTTTCATCGATTTTAGCAAGGCATTTGATTTGGTTAATCATGAAATTCTTATAATTAAACTTCAATCATATCACTTTGATCAAAGGGCTATTAAATGGTTTCATTCTTATTTAACCTCAAGGTCTCAGTGTGTAAAAATAGGAACATATTCCTCTGATTTTTTGCCCGTCACAGCAGGAGTGCCCCAAGGTTCTATCTTAGGTCCCCTATTATTTTTATTGTATATAAATGATCTCCCTTTACATGTAAATAGAACAGATATTGATATGTTTGCCGATGATGCAACCTTGCATACATATCATAAAAATATAGAAGGAATTGAGAATGCCCTTAACTTTGATTTGTGTGAGATTGAAAATTGGTGTTCCAAAAATCAAATGGTGTTAAATACCAATAAGACAAAATGTATGCTTATGGGAACTCAGCAGAGAAAATCAAGAATAGATTCACCTGAACTAAATTTATATGCTTCAAACAAATTAATTGAAAATGTTGAATCTGAAAAACTTCTGGGAGTGCATATTGATGGTTCATTGCGCTATAATCACCATATTGACTCAGTTTGTAAATCTTTGACATATAAATTATATACGTTGCGCAAAATTAAAAAATTCCTCCCCTTACACACAAGAAAACTATTCTATAATGCATACATTCTGCCCTCTTTGAATTATTGCCTAACTATTTTGGGTAATGCGCCAGGTGCTGGCATAGATAGAGTTTTTAAATTGCAAAAAAGGGCAGCCCGTATTATACTAGATGTGGCTTATGATGCCCCTTCACTACCATTATTCGAAAAACTTGGATGGCTGACTATTTACGAGTTGATTGATTTTCATAAATATATATTACTGTACAAAACACTTCATGGTATGGCACCTACTTATTTAAGAGACTCTTTTGAATTTATTTCTTCTAGTAGTTATGCTCTACGATCTGAAACAAACTATGACCTTCATCTACCGAAATATCGAACAAATCAATTAAAAAATTCTTTTCATTATTCCGGTGTTCATTTATGGAACAAACTACCTTTGTACATACGTTTTTCACAGAATTTACACATATTTCGTAAAAATGTAGAAAAATTCATAATAACATGCCGCAGCTAAAATCTCCTGAAATCTATATGTACTTGTATTTTTACGTCATGTTGTATTATTTATTATTGTACAATGATTTCATTATTGTATTATTGTGAACATGCTTAGAGGGCCCCGAGGAAGACTAGTGCATTGCACTAATCGGGTCACCCTCTTAAAATAAAGTATTATTATTATTATTATTATTATTATTATTATTATTGAGGAAAAGACGGATTGTTGTAGCTGCATTTTCTTCCGTGAAACGTGCGGGTTTAAAAAGCCTATGATGTGCAATATCCATAATCACAGAACCGAGCCTATATTCAGGTGTCGAGGAATCTAAATTTGGATGTTCCTTGGTCTTTTCAAGAAGACTATTGAAAAGTTTTAAAGGGACAGAGTAAAGTTTGGTTCGAATATGATGTAGACCTAACTGTTGATTTACATAAGGTGGTAATGAATCAAAAGAGACGTCGTGTATTGCAGATTTATTGTACGAACGATGTCCATGACTACGCTTACGTCTCTGAGTATTTTTAAAAAGTCCCATCACATTTACATTATTACACTGTGGGCTAGAAAGATTTCCAACACTATCAACATTGTCATTACATCCATAGGGAAACGCTGTCCCTAGTTTCCTAATCCAAAATTCTTCACGTTGTCTACGGAAAGGTGTACTCAACGACGGACTATTTGAGTGGTGATAAATCTTTTCCAGAATTCTAACTTTCATTGATAAAATAGAATGATCAGGTGAATTAAAATGTTTATATAAAAGCTGCTGACCACCATGATTTATTTGAAATCGATGACCTGATATTCTTTTGTTAAGCGATCCCTTGGTTTCACCGACATAAATAAGTCCACACAGATTACATTCTATTCCATAGACAACATTAGAAGATTTGCAGTTCAGATTTTCCCAAGTTTATAAATTCAGTAAAGATTCAATAATGAGAGAAAGTCAAGTTTAATACCACATGATATCTGTATTATATGTCATATGTCATACAGTTCAGGAAATTATTTAAGGTACAGCCTTTGTATATCTGGAACAGGTACATCTGAAGTTTGACACGATTGATGTGGGGGTACTTGACTGGGCGTCGTGCACGAACGATTTTTTAAAGCCTTCACTACACGCTGGGCGAGTTCCAGCTTGTTGCCACTCACTTTTATGTGATTTACTCGCAGAAATGTTTGTATTTGAGATTTCTGATAATTAGGTATGGCTTCCACCGTGGGATTGAATGATAACGTGCCTTCGTTACAAAGTGGTTCCATCGCATCGTATGGAATATGTCTCTATGTAACTCTTTACCGCAAGTGTATATAAAGTCCCAGAGGAACGATAACTCGTATAAGCAAACATTACAAAAAGAGGAAATGATGAAAAACTAAATTGATTGTTGTTATTATAGGAAGAGACCTTATGCTTACATCAGTTTGCTGGCAAATTTAAGGTTAAGGTTAATGAGGCAACAAATTGATTTCCTTCTATAACATGCAGGGATTTATCGAGCTCTGGTGCACAACATCTATAATACTAATACATGTATTTATCCTGATCATGAAGAATCAGAGCATGGACTCTTTTAAGTTTCGTTAAATACTCCCTTTAAAAGATTCAAGGGCACAGGGAAAAGAGTAGTGTGGATATAATGATTTAAACCTAGATGCTCATTGACGACATGTTAAAACAAATGAAATGAACCATTTGGTATGTTTAGATCATGGTATAGACGGTGTTAAAACAGCGTAACATTATTAGAGAATAATCACAGACATTAACATTATCATCATAATAATAATATACCGCATACATATACTTGTAAGTGATGTTCTTTATTTCATAATTTGCACTATTGATAAACTGTTTGCTTTACACTTATATTGCTATAAATGCTGGATAATTAATCTTACTACTTTGTTATACATTCTCTGAAACATCATTGCATTTTTAAAAATGATACTGTCAAAACTGCTTATTGATCACTTAAATCTTTAGTATTTTTTTCATTCAGAATCTAGCTAAAATTGTATTAATATCCGAAAATCATATAAATATAGATCTCTCTGACAAGTGCAAGAAGCTCTTAACATTCTGATTTGTAACGTTATCTTACAAAGGGAAATTCATATTTGATCTTTATACCTGGCAGTTTGTTTAACAAAAATATACATTTTTAAATATCATAATTCACTGAAATAAAGTTTTTTGGTGGGAAAACACTAGCACTTTGGACTATTCCTTATTTTAATATTAACACTTTAGATCCACGTTATCGTTATCGAGCATTTTACAGAAATCAATATAAAAAGTCCATTGAAACAATGTTCATTTGAAGTAGGGTAGACAAGTGCCTTTAAAACAACGCTTTTGATTGATAGAACATATTGTTAAAGTGTTATACAGCCTTCGGATGAATCATTTCCTTTCCGTCCTGATTCGAAGGAAATACGTCATAAGAACAGTTCACTTCATCCCCTTGGTTGAAATGCCCTACACCAAAGACACATTATTTTTAAGTGTCCTAAGATTTTAATATTAAAAGAGAGAGAGAGAGAGAAATATAACTGAAAATGTATTTTTTCAAAGATATATTTGAATTTATTTACAATATTTCTCAGCAGAAATATGTAATTTTGTATACAAGGTAAATATTTTATTTGAGGTTGCTTTGTATTTAAGCTCGACAGAAGATTGAGAATAAGTAGAGAAATAAATTTTAAAGCAGCAATATTAAGAGAAGTTTTTTTTTCTAAAAAGGACTGAAATAATATTTCTGGCGACAGTTAACCTTTACAACTTACAATAATAATATTCCTCTTGTTATTTGCATTTCGCAATTAGAATCTAATTCTACACAGCTAATTGTGCCACGTACGTTTCACGTATGTTAAACGTATTTGACACTTATGTAACTTCACGTACGTTTTCCATGAAAAAAGCACCACGTACGTTATCACATATGTGAATATCATGCGTGTCACGTATGTTAAACGTACGTATTGCCCACCATACGTTACACATATATTGCACACGTACGTTACTCATACGTTTCTCATATGAATAACGTACGTGCAACGTGAATGTAACATTTTTTACATAACTTGTTTAATGGGTTTATTATTTGCACTGTTCATAGTGTAAATGTATGAACACCATACAAAAATGTGTCAAACTACGGTTAAACACATGTTTTGAACATTTTTTTCACATATTGTAAACGTTGGTGAACCAAAAATTACATGCAATTTCAATATTCAATTTATGCATTTGATATAATTTCCCTCAAAGGCTTATTTTCTTTTCATCTGTTGAATGATCCACTTTCTGGTTTATATAATCCTTCACTTTAAATTTCCTGATCCTATTTGCTCTTGAAGCAATCACAACAAAAGACATATTTAGATTTAAGAAATTTAATGTTGAGTATGTTAACATCAATTCATTCTTCTCCAGTTCTCTTTTATCTGTAAAGAAAAAAATATTAAATGCATGGAATAAGGGAAAACCCATTTTTTCCCCTGAACATTATTATTATCTTGATATTAATCCTGATTGATTCTCTGTAGAACTTTAATAGAAATACTAAATAATTATTTTTTTAGTATTCATAACCACATGAATTTTGATCTTTTAAACTATTTTTTTCACTATATCCTCAAATATTTACCTTGTAATTCTCTTATCTAAAATTAATTACATAGCATTAATTTGTGGGTGAACTCGGAAAAAAAAGATGTGTTTGTACATACTGATACCCCATATGCCAGATTATGGTTAAAGTTTCCCAAGTGCAAGTCAAACTCCAAAGTCAATGTCAAAGGTCAAAATTGTTGACATCCAAGGAAGGACTTGTTCCAAAGAATAAATCTGTGAAATATGAAAGCCCTACTACTATCAGCTCATAAGTTATGATCAAAGTTATTTTTTTTTTAACAGTGGGTTAAACTACCGGTAGAAGTTCAAGGTCAAATATTTTAATTTATACCCATTGAAAGATCTTGTCACAGTAAATATACAAGTGAAGTATGACAGCCCTTGCACCAACTGTTCAAAAGTTAAGACCAAGATTCAAGTTATAAAACTTTCTTAAAAGTGAGTCATACTCCTAGTTTAATTCAAAAGGTTAATTTGGTGTACCAATACAAAAGTATTGTCACAATGAGTACCCAGGTACATGTATGTGAAATATGAAGGCCATACTTTCACCCACTAAAATAATACGGCCAATGTGAAAAGATTTTGCAGACAGACAGACAGACAGGGCAAAAGCTAGTAATGGGAACAAATTCAGTTAAATTAAATACATGACTAATATGTAGGCAATGAATACTCAATTTAAATAGACATATTTCTAATTTATTACAATTAGTATGTATAGTGGGATGTGTCCTAATTTATGACCTTGAGTTTTGGCGAGGTATCTCCCCTTATTTAAATTAATAAAAAAAATTAATTAAAAAAATTAGCCGGTAAAAAAATTGTTTTTAATTGCCATTCTTTAATTAATGTTTTGATGCATCTTTCCACAGCAGGATTTATTGATATTCAAATTATTTGAATTTTCATTTTGAAAAAAAAACGTTTTTCCCCATAGACTTCAAAGCAATCTTTGTTAATAAATTACTGCTTAATCAATGACATTTTGAAAACTTTCTTGCGGGCAATCATTTTCCACTATAAAATGCTTTAATATAATATCAGAGTCTTATGAACTTGACAGACATTTAAGGGTAGTGAAATCCCATTAGGGATGGAAATCCTTAAAATCTTGCCAATAGTTTGCTTGATGTCCAATTAAAAAAAAATACAATTTTGAATAATTTTGATGGGTTAACCCCCCCTTACTTAGTTTGGGTGGTGGTGGGGGGAGGAGGCTGTAAATGCTAAAATTTTACCAGACAGAAAACAGTGTATGACGATGGACAACAAGAAACCCAAGGGCCTTGAATCGCTCTTCTAATAAGTTGTACAATCTATCAATAGTATTTGAAGCCTCTTTGTTTATAAGACCCAAAATACATCAACCAAGAAAGTTCGATGATTCTTAGCCTAACAGGACTGAATATATTTCAATAGAGCTATAAAATACCATAAGTAGGTTATGGTGATCTACTCTTTGGTCGACATTCTCCAAAAACCCAAGATGCCTCAACTGACAAAGTTTAACAATTCTAGGCCAATATAGACTTCTTTTGGCTTTATCTTCCTGATTATTTCCCCTTGTTTAAGGGTCAAAACCCTAATTTCAGTATAAATGGTAGCCCTTGGGCCAAGGATGCCCTGTGAAAATTTGACAATGATTGTCCAAGGGGATCTTGAGTTATGGCCCACATTCTAAAAAGTTTATGCACACCACACAAAAGGCCATAGCATTGCTGGCTTTGAGGACAATAGCTACTTTATCATCCCCAAAGACAACAAATATTCCCCAAGATGCAGTGTTGGGGAATAGTTTGCTGTTGAGGGAGATGATAAAGATAAACAAGCTATTTTCCGAATAGTAAGTAAATAGGTGTTTTATTATAGCAACTGATCCCATCTCTGATGTTTTGGGGGTCCGTGTTTGGTCTGTCCTTATTTTGTACTGTTTTATGGACTTTGAGATTGAAAACTATTCGTTATCCACATATCCTTCTATGATATACTGAAGCTGACTTAATTATATGTAAGGTCCGATCTGGATAAAACCAGAAGAGTTCCGAAATGAAAAATTGAACTTACCTTCTGCATTAATCTTTAGCTTGGCATGGACTCGTCTGTTTTTGTGTGTGTTCCAAGTGTATACTTTTTGTTCTTGAGGTAAAAAAAAATATATGTAAAAAAAAATAGGCGACTTTCACATTAAATTTTACAAAAGTAATTCCCCTTTGCGTGGTCAATCCAGCGTAAGGCCCTGTGTTTCCTCTGTAATCTTACTAAATTTATTGGTCAGTATCTTAAAGATAAAATCTGTAATGAATATCAGTCATTAAGATTTTCATATTGCCCCAAGCTTCGGCAATACAGGTACAGATCTAAATTGTCCAATAATGTTTGAAGATTGAAAATAATAACAGGTAACTTACAAAGGACAAAGTGGGAAAATGAGAGTTATGCCGACAAGGGGAGATAACTCTAAATAGTGTGAAATTCGTCAAACTCTATTGCATTTAAAATTTTACATGAAAAGCTTCAAGTTACATGTAGTATTTGCAAGTCTAAAAGCAATATGATCAGAAAATCTTATTCCTTTTTAAAAGTATTGCCATATTCAAAATTATACTGGTCAAACTTTAAGAATCTGTTTTGGGGTCCATTCTAGGCATTTAGGTGTTTACAAAGATAAGCGTCAGTCACCAAGCTGGAATGCATAAAATCACATAAAAATTCTCAAACACAATTTATATTGACATAAGGATTAAAAGGGCAGATATGTAAAAACAAAACTGTTACACCATTATTGCACTCAAAGATAATTATTTCCTTTACCATCAAATGTTATGTTTTAAATACTGTAAATAGAAATAAATTCGGTGAGTGGAACTTTACATCAAATTGTTGTTGTTGTTGTTGTTGTTGTTGTTGTTTTGTTTGTTTGTTTGTTTGTTTTTTTTTTTTTTGCATCTTATTTGTTTGGTTAAAAAACATTTTGAATAAATACTTAATTGTAATAACAGTATTTTTAAATTTCACCTTAATTTTGATATAACGTGCCCGTGTTGATGAATACACCTGAGTGTTGACCAAAACAGCTCACTGCCTTAACATGGTCAATATTTTCTGTGTTTGGTAACCCACGTCTCCATTATGTAATACACTGCAAAAAAATCCCCCTTAGTTTACATGCAACACACAGTCATAAGGTAATTAAATAATTGTTGATTTTATGCATTCGTCACCGTTTAGGCCCCAGAACTTGCAGACGTCGGACTTCTCTTTCCAGTGACGTCACTGGTAATGTACATGTAATACATAAATGGAGACTGGAGAATTCCGGAAGGTCTATTTTATAAGTTTTATACGGACAGTACCCACTGTATATTTGATAATTATCTAGATGAATCATTTACTCCCTTTTGAAATTTGTTGTGAAATTATCGTGAATTTCTTCCTTTTTTTAAAACATATTTTTGCCTTTGAATTTGGATTGATTATATCTACCGATGGCCGAGTTCAAATTTATATGCCTCTACCGATATCCGATACACATGGCCAGATTATAGAACTTTTGGATTATGTAAACTTTGTTTAACTGTTTTTAGAGTAAATTTTAAACCAATGCGAACTGATAACATCATGCCAGACATGAAAGTGGACGTAAGGTAAACAATGTGAAATAAATTGAAACATTAAATACGCACACAAGTCAACAACGCACACACATGTGTAACGTGTCGGACCTGAGCGGTCAGGAGGTCCGTGCTTGGATTACCGAGTTTTACTAGGGGTATGATTGAATGCAAAATATAAAGATATGGTATGACACCTGCCTGGTGTCTTTAAATCAAGTGACCTCAGTGTTTTGTACAATGATTATAAATTTTCAGCTAATACTGGCATCTACCTGGTGCCATATGACAATTGCCTCACGATACCACTATGTCAACAGCCATCTGCCTGGTGCCTCTTGACTTAGCCGTTTTACACCTGCCTGGTGTCTTACTGCTAACTAAGTTGCCTATATAACTAAAACCTAGCCAAATGGCTATAATATACTTACACAGTATGAATGATCTATCAAGGACTGC